TCAAACGAGTCCGTTACACATCGGGTGGTATAAGGTTTCGTTTAAAGGACAAGAGTCGACTTTCTTCCTTCATTACTTCGGACGTAAACTGGTCCCCTGGTCCGTTAGCATCTGAGTGGGAACTCCCGCTCAAACAGTTTCCGCTGCACACTCAGTGTTTATTCCAGGAAATGCCATCACCTCTGGATATCGGATGGCGTAGTCAACTACTGATAATATACACTTACTACCTTTTTCTTTATGTGATATATCTTGTATGGCACTTGGAACTTTAAAGGTTTGTATGGTAATGCTTTCTTTTTTAGCTGACCACGAGTTTCAACTGCAGATGTGTTTCCTGTTGAATGAATTCATTCCATGTTTAGTTCATGAGATTTAATCACATCATGAATATTTCCAAGAATATCAATTGATGGACAGTCAAACACCAAGCTTCAAAATTCCCTGTAAGTATGGAGTTTTTACCTCAACTGTTGCGATATCGGCTTCAATAGTTCGTCCATCAGCTACCATGCACTTTTGAAATTTGCCTGCAAGTTGATCCTTTTCTACCAAGTCCTTCCTTATCACAACACCGCTTCATCCAGTATCTCGTAGTACAGTTCCTAATTTGTCTCCCACACAACCTTTGACAACTGGCTAAATGATTTCACTAACCGAAACCGAATCACCAACACAAGGAACTGTTTTTTCCTACATACAGAAGGTGTATCTTGAAGTACTATACCATGTCCAAAGTATTCAAAATTGCTTCAATTAAATCTGCTGGAAGTCTCACCATTTAGATCATTGAATTGATATTGTTTAGGAACAGTTTCTTGTTTCTTAGTAGCACTAGTTATTTTAGCTATAAGACGAAAAGCTCCAATCAATGCAGTCATAGGATTTTTGTCCAGATTTACCATATATGAAACTTTCCTCTTAAATTACATATACATGTAGTTTGTTGCATTGTGTCCGAAGAATGAGTATGTTTGTCACTTTGGACTTTCCTGTCGAATGCTGGTCTTTATGTGATCAAATGAGGATGCAGTGTTCATTGCCTCTGCAAACTGATCTGCGTAAACAAGCCATATCTTGACTACTTTGGAGGAATTCTCTCTTTCAAGAATAAGTTTTCCCCTTAAAAATTTCCCATCTTCTTTCATATCAAAGTGTTAATGAAGTTCCTTTTCAGTTCATCAAAGTCTAGACGATTCCGGAGGAAGTCTTACAAACACATCTTTTTCTTCAGAAGGACATTACGATAAGCTTCCCAGTTATCCATTTGCCATTTCTTAGATGTCACATCGATTTCAAAACGTTAATGTAATATACCGTGTGAGATCTTTCTGTTGCTAGTAGAATTTATAATCAAGTTCCATTTCTTCTATTTTGTGTTTGTGTTTGAAATCAGAAGAGTGTCTGCCGAATGTGTTCACGTTCCTCTCGCTCTCTTTCTGAACGTTCTTTTTTTCTATTTGCAACTAAAATTCACATTCTTCCTTCAATTTCTGTCTTCTCTTTGCCTTTCTGGTTCATCACGAAGTTTGATATCATTGGACAGATCAAAATTGTGTAGAACCTCTTTTTTAATCCCATTTGAACTGGGATGGGGTAATCGTAATCGATTGTACGAGGGGCATTTGAAAAGTTCTGAGAACTGTTTGATAAAATATTAACCGTTTAACGGAAATTACTGAGTTTGATATCATTGGACAGATCACAAAAATATACACATATTGTGACGTCACTTTGTAATTTTTATTACGTAATAACTCCGAAAATGACATCAGAATCTCGAATGTCTAGCATACTGACCATAAAAATGACGTAACAAGAGACACAATATTTCAGTGAAGTAAAATTTTAAAGTCAACATTTCTTCATTACTCGGATGCACGCTAACGGACACAACTACCAGTTGGAAGAATGTTTACATAGACTACAGTCTATCATATGAAGGTTATATTCAGGAGCTCCTACAGTTCTTAGGTGGTTTAAGAGTGTGTCAAACATAGCATGTTTTTATTGAAATCTCGCGCAAAATATTGGGTAAAAAAGACGCTGCTGTGAGAAAACACAAAGTTTACAATAACAGAAGAATAGTGGACGGTGATACAAAAGTTGCTGGCATTAATTCGTCAGGTGTTTTAACTAATTTTCGGGAACGATTAAAGCTCAAGAAAGGTTAAGCTAAGGATGTCCCATATTTTCTCGTAAAAACCAAAATGGCACCGGTGTAGTTTTAACCCCACCGAAACTCGACATGTTCGAAAATTTTAAATCATGGAAAATAAATAAGATTGCACATGGCAATGAAACTCAGATTTATTTTTTATGTCGAAAGTCAAAGGTAATAGTGAGTTTTGGATTGCCGAAGTTGAATAATAATTGTCCGAGGAAGACTTTTGTACGTCTTATTCGTAAACGGTAAGAGTGCTGATACTCAAGATCCATTGTGGAAAACTGCATTTGTACACTTCAGTTTTATATAGAATATGTTTTGTTTAATACAGTGGAGAGCTATGTGATGGACCGAAAATCCATCCATATCATATAAATAAAAATCTTTTATGAACAGCTAAGTTTACATTACTGTGCTTATTAGCCAAGCAAAAAAATAAAATATGGCATTGTTGATTTACCGTACCATTTTTATAGTCTTACTCTACTTCCATGCAAATTTTCTTTGAAATATCTTTTCAAAGAAGCCTTTGTTCATATAAGTGCAAATTTTCCAGCTTTCTTCAATGGTATCAAACTTATTAACTTCTGTGAAATGGTTCATATTTTAGCAAACAGTTCTCAGAACTTTTCAAATGCCCCTCTTAATGATTACTTTTTTCAAGTAATCGACAGTAATCTGTAATCGACGAGATTTTCGATTACTTGTAATCGTAATTTAATCGATTACAGCTAAAATTTTCAATGTAATTATAATTACTTTTTCGATTATTTTATACATAAATGGATGTTATTTTGGAGAATTATTTCCTTTCAGTACGTGTCACAGTGTTTGCTTATCTTAGTTGGCTAATTAATTGACTGAGATATCCCTGACCTGCAGATAATGAGGTGTAAACTGTGAACTACCTGGTGTTTAACTTTTATAATTCATAGTTCCATTGAAGACAAACAATATTATTAAAACAATTAATAGCTCTCAAAACACTTATTTCAATACAGAATGAAATGGTGCTATTAGTTTAACTACTTCAAGACAAATTTAATTTACATGTTTATTACTAAGAGTTCTAATTTATTTATTTTTTTTAAAGAAGACACATACAAGAATGCTTAATATGTACTGTCAACATACGGGCAGCCCAAATACTTCTAATGAAGTTATTCACAAAAAAATAATATAAATAATTTTTGCAACAAGTCAAATCTGAATATGGAGTTTCAGATCCAAGGTTGAAAAGAATAATTAATTCCTTGGCATATTTTATTGCAGGAATCATGTCTCCACTTTCCATGGTAGAGAATCCCTCATTTGGGCATTTAGTGAGAATGTTAGCCAGAATAAAACCTTAGAAGAATCTGCACTGAAACGGCAGGAACACATTGAAACTTCAGTGGATATCATCAACATTACCATTTAAATATTGCTTAGATATTTGAAGGGATAAAAACTTGGTTACAATCGATTACAGGACAAAAATGAGTGTATTCGATTAATAATCGATTACACAAAATTCCTTTAAGTAATCGATTATTAATCGATTACATTTTTCAGTAATCGTGCCCATCCCTGCATTTGAGTTAAAAGTTACACTAATTCCTGCATTTCCTTTATAGTAGATATGACGGAATGACTAAAATGAACCGCTTAACCAATTTAAATCCGAGGAAAAATAGTATCACTGCTTAACAAAGAGCCTACTCATTTAACCTTTGTTTAAGGTAGGGAAACCGTGACTTGACTTAGCATAATTGATCTGCATAAATGTCACCATAAAAATATACATTAACTGTAAAAATATAACGTATAAACCAAAGTTAATATTAAAAATCCTTCACCAGTAAAGAATTCTTGATTGATTTAAAAAGAGAGTCTGTCGTCCTACATGCACCTCTGCCACCAAATGGGCTAAGCTTCCTTTCCAAATGATAAGCAAGACTTTCATCAAACAAAAACACGACTTTATTTATATAAGACAGAAAGAAAAAAATAAAGTTAATCAAGCATACAATTTACATGATCACTCACCAACACACACTCTCTGAAATGATGATACCCCAAATATGCTATCTACAATGAAAAATATGAAGAAAAAAATATTCCGATACCTCTATAAATATTCGTACTACCTGGGTTATTGGACTTTAATAGCTCATCCAAACCAAAAAGGGATTGCCATGAAAACAACATATATTTTTACGAGAGTTATCTCTATACAGTTCTACACCAAACCTCCTGGTTGTAGCCCTGGACTTTGGTTGAGGATCAGTGTCAATTCACAAAAACCAGCGTTCCCCGCGTCCACTTTATAAACATTATCGACGTCATCATCATTGATATCTTCTTCATCAACATCATCATCAATGACATCATCGTCATCGACAACTTTATCATTGACATCATGGTCGTAACTCAGCATGGTGCACGGTACACATTACAGAAACACTGCAATTGTGAACTGCACTCGCACTGGTGCCTGAGTTACCGAGTTTAATACTGCCCCATTATAAGGCATTCCTTACACTGGACAACTGCTAGGAAATATTCAGCCGCTATTCTTACCTGTAGGCCGAGCTTATCAAAAAGAATCATTGGTATATGCATATTCAAGAGGTAATACTACAAATAGTAAGGCAAGGAGTATCTAAAGGGTTAAACTAATGATTTTTATAATATATAGAATGGAAATTGATGAAAGTATTGAGTATACATACGAATTTTGAGCTCACTCTTAAGTTAATCCATTGCCAATGAGAATCTTTAAATAATTATCAACATTATATCAAACAGCTTTATGTAAAAAAGATTATAGTAAAAAATTGTTAAAACTTACCATGCATAGGTCCTACTTTTCGTGTTATGAACAAATTACTTGATAAAGTGTAGCAATTTCCATACTCCGTAGTTTGAAACAGAGTAAAGTTACTGGAATGAAAACAGTGAAGATGACGAACAGTGATCGATCTAAAGAAAACCTTCAAACATTACTGGGGGGTTTAACAGACTAAAATTGTTATCATTCTTGTGCTCATATATATTCTAAGGAAAAAAGTTTTAAAATGAAACACACATAGCTAATGAAATACTTTTGATGCATAAATATTTCGTAGGACTCTGGGAGACCAGTTACGTGTATTTCTGAAAAATAGAGAATTAACTTACTTTGCTAAACATTTTCTTTCATTGAAGAAACAGCTAATTAGCATGTCTTGAATAGAATGTCCCCATTCTTTCCGACTTTGCCTGAAGAGACAGAAGAAAAAAAATATATTCTAGATGCTAGATGTTTTATATAAAAATTAAATAGAAATGAAACAATTGAAATATCTTGCCAGAGTCAATGAGGCATTTTACTATGAATCTAATTTCTTCTAAGCAAGTGAATACTTAATATCTCCTTAATCTCCAAGCGGATTTCCAAGTATTGTGATGTTTGAAAATGTTATACTCTTATTGCAATGCTTGAAAGATTAGTGAGAAAGGCATCTAGAAGACCATAAAGAATAACTTGAATAGAATCAAAATGATGCCATAAACAAACTGACTTACTTTGATTGATTTTGGAAGAGAAGTTTAAAATATCGAAAGTTTAAGCTCCATTCCTCTTTTTCCCAGTTGTTTTGAATTTTTATATAATCAATGAAGGCATCGATTGAATTCCAAAATCGGTAATTGTCTAGATCATCATTAAAAAATAAGATATTAATAATATCAGTCAAGTTGTAATCAGTAGTTGAATTTACAATGATAGAGAGATTACTTAAACGTGATAAGTGATCTCCTTGGGGTCTAGGGGCTATAAAATCATGAAGCGCAGATCCACTGATGAGTGACAACGATGAGTCCTTTATGGGATTCATGTTGCAGAGAGAGACAGATGGAAACTGCAAAGTATCCCTTTTCATAGATAATTTTGTTTGAATTGGATATTTGGTGTATTCGTGAACGAGGTGATAAATTTGAAACACTAAAAGTCCAAATGTCACAAGAACCAGACACGTCCAAAGACCCCGTTGATACCAGTGTTTGGATGAGAGAATTCTGGGGATTCCATGTAGACTTGTTTGAACGCCAAGCGAGTGGAAGACTTCCTTCACTGAATCATACTTTTCTTTTTTAATTTTCCTTTTATCAATGATTCCCTAGTGGATAGAAATTCATGATGTAATAAAAATTCTCATTCTAAACATTAGTTCTACAAATACTTCCTTAATCCCAAGCCCACTCTACCCTTCCAATCCCAAACAAAGGGTCTGTTTAATAGGCAGAAGTTTAGTGAACAAAATATAGTTGGCCTTGCTATAAAGCAATATCTTACAACGTTAGTTTTTTTTTCCATGCTATTTTACATGTACATGATACTATAACAAAAGCATAAATCTTACCAACATGTACACCTAATAGAAACAGTCTTTCAAAATGTTCAATAAAATGAATAAAAATGCAGAATATCAGTTAATAAACATCGCTTAGTCCTTATTACACATAGACAACTTTCAGCCACTGTATAATATTAATCGCACTTAATTTAAAAGATACAACTTATCTAATCCAAGTTTTCTTATTTCATATTTCAAATAACTTTCAGCAGATAAACAAGGCTACGTTATCAAGTTATGCAGATCAGGTCCCAAGATCATGAAACAGACTTAGACTTAAGTCAAATTTTCAATCGCCTGTAAAATGTTTATTTATTGTTGAATTAATCTCTAAATTTGCACATGACAACACTTTTGTGAAGCAATATAGAACAATATTTCAATTTTGGTCTGTTTGACTTCTACACCATTTTAGCACAGTATTAAAAACTCGACTTAAGCTTAAGACGTTTCATGATCCCGGGGCCTGGTCTTCTCATATCACTTTTAATGAAGTGAAAAGTATTATCATTATGATGACATGATAAAATAAGTTTGTTCAGTAGCAAAATGATTTTTTATGTCCATGTCATTATTCATGATACAAATAGTACAGAGATTTCATTTTTAGAGTTTGTCAGTATTCATGACATGAAATGAGAAGAGAAACGATTTTTTTTCTTTTATAAAACACAATCAGTTTATTGGGGACTGTTGCCTATTTTGACAAATGAAACATTCTTGTTTTATAAAATAAATATTCCCTGAATATAATAAGGTCAACACAAGGATAAAAAAAGAAGGAGGGAAAGAAGGTAGTAGTACCGGTATGTTTGTGAAAAAGAATTAACACAAAGTTCCAAATATGTGCTTCTTTCTGACAAACTAGTCAAAATAAACACAAAAAATAAACAAGGGGGTCTGGATATTAAAACAAAATTGATTTAACGTTAAAAAAGGGGGAGGGGGTTATTCCCAACAAGAATTTCAAAAACATTTAGACCACTTTTTGTTTATTATGTATTGTATACGTTGTAGCAACCGCTAATGATAAAACGCCGCTTATTGATACAAATATCATTAAGCGTAGCAGTTGCAATTGTTAATGCCATGAATTATTGCATTAATAGTTGACATTCTCAACTGCTAATGCTAAATCGCTGCTTATTGATATAATCCTATTCTTTTATGTTAAACATAAATGAAAAATGAAGAACCAAACGCATTAGAGTAAGTAAACTAAAATAAATGAAAGTCTGAAGGAAAAATTCCTTTAAAAATTTCCTTCCTGTAAAAAATTCAGACATTATATAACTATTACGTAATTTACATGAAAATGCAGAAACCATGTGAAACACATGTTTAGACACTTAATTACACGTTATCTGCACATTTCACAAATGCTTTAAGATCCACAAAAAAAGTCATAGGAATTGTGCATTCTTAGAGGGCTTTTTAATAGATACCACCGAATTTTCACACATTTTTAATTAGTTCCTCTTAATATAGGACATTGCACTTAATGTGAGCAAACATAAATCCCCTTTACCCTAGGATGCTTTGCGGCAAGTTTGGTTGAAATGGCCCGGTGGAGAAAAAGTAAAAAATTTGAGAAAAAAAAAATACAGGTAAGACACGACACACGACGTGATTGGAAGGTTGTGTGTTCGAATCACGGCTGCGACTGACCTAAGTCGAAAAAAATAGGTAGCAACTGTTCCTTTACCAAGCGCTCGGCACTTTGAAGTGAAAGTTGCGGGTCCTTGATGAGACCTTAAAAACCGAGGCCCATTGTTACGGTAGGCGTTGTCACGATAAATAACCCTCACTGCCCAATGGTCCTGAATGCCGAATAATGGTCTAAATCTGAAGCCCTTCACCGGTATATGGTGAGGTCCCTATATGGATGAAAAATTCTCTAATGGGACGTAAAACAACATACATAAAATACAATACACGACACATGTCAGACGGACGCCAGGCGCTAATTGGTCAGAAAACCTCACTTGAGCCTTCAGCTCATGTGAGCTAAAATTTTGATAATTTTAGATTTATTGACCATATCTCTATGAGTGTACTGAAAAGTGACAAAATTTACTTTTTTTAAGCAAGTTTCAATGCACTCTATTTTTTGTTGGATCGACGACATTTAAGAATTACTTTAAAAAGATATAAATAAATTATATGCGTATCATGAATTTGTTTTTGAAATGGGACGGTAAAATGAGTTTGCAAAACTTTGTTCGCCTTCAATGATATTGAATTTTCAAACTGCATGTCAGTTTGTTATAGTTAGGGATAAATAAATATAAGGTGTATTCTTAGGCTTGTGCAGGAAACGCCTGGAAAAGCATATTGTACTGAATTGATTTTTCATCAATTCGTAAAAATGAGCATGCATTTTCTATTCTTTTGTGTAAAAATTCTTGATAAACGCATAGAAAATGCCTTGCATAACTAGTCGGACAAAAAAGTCCGGGGTAGTCAAAACTGTACGAGATGAATAAAACACAATGGGCAATCTTATATTTTTCTTAATCTAAGTAGTCGATATGATGCATAAAGCAAATACATGATTAAGAACACACAATATACTAGATATCGTCTATTTACATTATTGTGTGCCTTTTTTAAATGTCATGAATTATACCAGATAAACTGTAGGACAAGTAGATATATTATTTAAATTTCATATTAAAATACTAAAGAGTTGTTTATAACATTCCAATTTTTCAACACGTCCCAGGTAAGCAAAACATCTATTGACTAAGATTCTGGAAACATATACATGTATATACATGTATTTTGTTAGTCTCTCAGACAAAATGAAAACCTGAGCCTTTGGATGAAATATTGAGATAACAAACAGTATTCAAGCTCAAAGCCCATTAAAACAATACAAATTGGGAGCAGAGCAAACACGGGCCTCCAAAAGCAGAGGTGGGATCAGGTGCCATGAAGTTGTGAGCATCCATTATCGACCGGTCATACCCGCCGTGTGCTCCTTGTCATGATTGGTAAATTACGGAAAATCCGTCGATAATTCAGTATGTAAATAATGGCCTGAGCTCGACAAGAGTCCGGAGTAAACAATTTAGTCATATAGGTAGTACAGGTCTAGAACAATGTTTAAATAATCATTACAAATGCAGTGGGAAAAAAATCCTGGCTCTTTAATCTGTCTTTTGTTTAGGAAGGTAATTAGTAGATATAAATTCTAATTAATAATAATGAGGCTTTAGTAGAGCTTTGTTTTAAAAAATACCATGCCTTAGAATCGTTGCAGCTAATGTTGCATAGATAATGGTTTACCAGATTAGAAATAAAGATAGCAATGAGATGAAAATCCAGAGTCTGTCAAACATTGTCAGGTATCCCATTGCCCGTTCCGTAATTCACAAAGCGGTAATATTTCAACATTTAAAATTTTACAAGAGCATGGTGTTAAGACTCTGGTGCGGCTTCATCTTTTGCCAGAAATGCAGAAACAGCAGTCATATACAGATCGGAAAAAGGGGGTGAAAGGGTTGGTTTTTGTTGATCTTGTTTGCAAGATGTAATGCTCAGTTTAAGAACCTCCGAAAATTTATAATAAATTACCGTGGTACATAAAACCATTCAAAACTTTAAAATATAGGGAAAGAAGGGTTTAAAATTGATATCCTTTACTTTAATAAGAATCCTCTTTACACTGTACACTGAAAGCGTCTGAATCTGTAGGGTTTTATGTAGTTACAGACTTACAGTTATCTGTCCTTTGATCTTAAACAAAAAGAATAAATTGATACCTACAGCGTATTACTTAATTTGTAATCAGTTCAAGTATTTTTTATATTCTAATAGGCCATGATAAATAGACTGAACTTTATTTGTTGTGTATTTCCGACTTGAATAAAAAAAAGTTATTTATGTTCATCAGCACTGTTTTGCCTGTGACCATTATTTTCTGGGGTAAAGGCTAGTTATCCCATGTTGAAAATTAGATAGATAAGCTCAATATTTACACTTTTATACAATATAATTTTCTTGTCCAATTAACATTTTATGTAGTGTTTAGGGGGTCTTTAACTTCAAACATCAAACTAGGCTGACTTAAGAATGGATTTAATCTTAAGAATCTAAAGGGGTTAGTGGATACAATGAGAGAGTGGTCTTCCCAGTGGGTAAGGTTCTGAAGGTTTTTGAGTAGGCCAGGACGTCCACAGGGGGTAGTTAAATTGAAACAGTATACCCCTATTAGGTGGCGAAATTGTCACCTTCAATCTAACCATCGATCTGTTTATATAATTTATTTGTTGTGGAAGATATTGATATATATGTGATAGTTGATGTTGAAATATAAAATGTTGACTTTGAAAATTATATTTGAGTAAATCTAAAGCAAATTATGTAACATAATTATAGAAAATTTGTGTTAAAATATGTCCTTAGATTGCAGTCAACCCAGCATACTGCTTTCTACGTTTTGGAGGGTACAAACTAATTGTTGATGTTTGGGGTATGCCAAGTTGCCGGCTGCCCCCACCTGCTCTGTTGTGTTGACCTCTGTAGACAATACCTGCCAACTCGATTTAAAACATTAAACTAAATAAGGTATTTGTTTTCACATATTGAAAATATTTGTCTTTGAAAATTTTAAATTGTTAATACCTTCAAGATTCAGCATTTATGTTGAGAATTTCGGGGAGGGGGGATTTCCCACCTACCTACCCATCCAATTTTTATATCCCGAGTCAGGAGAGGCAAACGAACATTATTTTAAAGATGACCTTACCTGTATATGTTTTCTGAGCTTTTCCATTATTAGTTTCCTCTTGTAAACGCAACGATTTCAGAAATTTTTCATTCCATTTAAATGATCACGTTTGATGCTTTAACCGTTGTTCTAATAACATTTAATGTCTATTATTGTTTTCAACAAGCATTTGTATTTAAATCAACATTTGAAAATAATTTAATACTTTTGGCAAATTGGGATTGAACAATAGGCATCACTTCGTATCATATGTCTCTCATCTACATATATGTGATATTCGACAATCGAAACATTAATTGTTAAGCAGACAGTTTTCAATATCTCTTTTTATTGGCTTTTCTTTATTTCTCATTTTACAAATTAAAGTTTTAAAATGTGTCCTTTTAAAAACTTTTTATTTGCAGTTTCCATCAGCCAAAGTCTCAAGTGACATTTTTGAATTGCATTTTTAAATCGTCTGCCTCTCTGTTGTCTGTGTCTGTTGACTTTTGTTTTTCAATTTCTTCTCCAGTAGTCATGTACTACTTGGTCAAATGCAATCAAACTTGGAACAAAGTATTATTGGATAAAGGGGATACAAATAAATGACATGTTCCCATTCATTCCTTTTTCAAGGGGAGTTAATAAATTAATAGTAAAAATAACACATATAATTATAAAACTCTTTTCCTCAAGAACCACTGAAACAGAAAACTGAAAAACTTAACTGAGTTTTTCTTTTTGAAGATTCAAATTTGTTCAAAGTTATGAAAATGTCATAAATAATAGGTGGTCAAAGTTTGAGTTGCAAAAAGTTCCTTGAGAAGATTTTTAAAAAAGATATTTCCTATGTAATCTTTGACCCCCTGTTGTGGACCTGCCCTATCCCCGGGGATCATGATATTAAGAAATTCAAATTTACAGTATGTAATGAAGTTTTCACCTAAGTTTCACCTTTTCTGGCCAAGTGGCTTTTGACAAAACGATTTTTAAAAGATGACACCAAATTTCACAAATTTTCAATAATCTCCCCTTTTCTAGGGCATAGCACTTCCTGTGGACAAACGTAAATCCTCTTCACCCAAGGATGCTTCGTTGCAAGTTTGGTTGAAATGGCCCAGTGGAGAAGTAGTCAAAAATGTGAAAAGTTTACAGACAATACAGGCACACGACAGTCTGACGGACTTCATGCATATACTTTTGGTCAGAAAACCTCACATTAGCCTGTGGCTTATCTGAGCTAAAAATATTGAAAATCTTAGATAAATTGACCTTGCCTATATGAGTGTACTAACAAATTTATGAAAAGTGACGAAATAAACTTACATTTTAAGCAAGTTTCAATGCACTCTATTTTTTTTTTGTCGGATCGACGACATTTAAGAATTATATTGAAAAGATATGCATGAATTATATATGCGTTTCAAATGTATGAATTTATTTTTCAAATAATGAGACGGAAAAATGTTGCAAAATCTTGTTCGCGCTCAATGATATTGTATTTTCAAACTGCATATCTGATTGTTATAGATAGTGCTAAATATATGCGGTGTGTTCTTTGGCTTGTGCAGGAAACACCTGAAACAGCATAACGTACTAAATTCATTTTCCATCAATTCGTAAAAATGAGCATGCATGATAATCTAAAAACATTTTATCCTGTTGTGCAAAATTAGATAAACGCATAAAAACCCTTGCATAACTAGTCGGACGAAATGAAAGGTCTTGGGTAGACAAAACCGTACAAGATGAATAAAACATAATGGGCTATCTTATATTTTCTTAATCTGAGTTGTTAAAATGATGCAAAAAGAACACACAATATATTAGATATCATCTATTTATATTTTTGTATGCCTTTTTATGTAATGAACTGTACCAGATAAACTGTAGGACGCGAATAGTGTTGATAGGATTCCCAAGTTTTAATAGTTTTTATAGTGACCTAAATATCCAGCAAGGATAGCTGCTATATCGCTTCATGGTTTATCAAAAGGGTTCAGATTAAATTAAAATAAGATGGGGTTAGGTCAGAGATATTTAATTTTTTCAGATATTCTGTGTCAGCAAGCTGATTCAGTTAAAAGGAGATTATAAAGGAAGTCAGAAAGAGGTCAGGTTTCTGGTCCATTTTTTTTCCATTTTACATGTACATATTTCTGAATTTCTCCAATCCGGCTTGTTCCTAACATTCCCTAACAAAAATTACTATAGTTAAGTATAGTAAAAACTTTGATACTTTGATTTACTAGGAAACTTTATTCTGGAATTTGAGATTTCAGAGTTTAAATCTCTTAAATTCGATAGCTGTCATTCATTTGGAGACGCCACCACTTGCCGGTGGAGGGCTGCAAATAGACCTATACTCGGCACTCAGGACTAAGGGATCTTTTTTGTGCCAGCACTTTCTGCAACACTGGATCTCAGTTAATACCGATCCGTAGATCCGTAGCTTAGAATTATTAGTTCAAACTCTGAACTTTATTGTCCGCTTTCACTGAAAGTGGGGGATATTAATTTGAGTATGTCTGTCTTTCCGTCTGTATAGCTGTCTGTACCGATTTTTTTTATCAAATGTCAATTGGAAATTTGTTGGCGTCGATCACGTTCAAAGTTTAAGAGTTATTCCCCCTTCGTATTAAAAGTCGCATGATACTATTCTTAGCAGAGGAGCATGTCGACAATTATTTCATATAATACATGCTGTCGGTTGAATTTTATATAATAACATGGTAAATCTATTAGAACTGTTTAGTAAAGGCTAAATTAGACAACATGTGTTGTGTTAAATTGTGACAATATTGAACGGATCAAGAACGGGAAATTACACGTCATAAGGACGGTGGAAATCTGAGATATTTTCAGACAAAGCACAAGTATTTGATGGTCAAACAACAAATATTTATTTAGAAAAAGGCCAATGATAAGTGGTGAATAACACGTAAAGCAAAGATATACATACAGAATTTTATACCAGCAGTTATGACGTGTGGCGTGTACAAACGTTCTCATAAAATCATTCTTACAGTTAGATAAATATTTCATATAAAAAGAATATTTTGTATACATTTTAAAGAAACAGGGGTCCACGTTTTCTGGAGGGGGTGTCCAAAGGAATTTTTATTTGCTTAAATATCTGCATTTAAGATCTTTGCAAATTCCGGGTGGGGGTACCCCCCCCCCCCACCGAACCCCTGCTCTAGATCCGCGCATGCTCTTCTTTTTTCTTAAGCTGAGCATACAAATTCCTTGAATTAGCTTGTTTCCAGCAAAGCAGTTGGGTGGATGAGCATTCAACAGTTGAGAGTTTTTTATCATGATTTTATTCTGAAATTAGAAAAGGACTGCCTTCAAACATGATTTGATTATGAAACATATTTCCTTTAAGCACTTTTACCGAAATTTTCTTGAAAATATAGGGTACGATTGAGACAAAAGAAACTTGCCTGAGTTTTTCTGTAATGAAGTTTTCACCTAAGTTTCTTTTTTTTCTGGTGAAGTGGCTTTTGAAAAAACGATTTTTAAAAGATGTTATCAAATTTTCACAAATTCTTAACTATCTCTCCTTAAAAAAGAGGATAGCACTGCCTAGGAATAAACGTAAATCCCCTTCACCAAAAGATGCTTTGTGGCAAGTTTGGTTTTGAAATGGCCCAGTGGAGAAGAATTCAAAAATGTAAAAAGTATACAGACAAGACACGACACACGACAGACAGATGGACGTCATACAAACACTCTTTGGTCAGAAAACCTCACGTGACCCTACATCTTATATGAGCTAAAAATAATGAAAATCTTAGAAAAATTGGCCCTGCTTATATGAGGGTACTACCAAATATATGAAAAGTAACGAAATAAACTTTCTTTTTAAGCAAGTTTAAATGCACTCTATTTTTTGTCGGATCGATGACATTTAAGAATAATACAAAAAAGATATGCATAAATAATAGGTGTATTATGGATTTGTTTTTGAAACGAGAATGTGTCGCAAAATTTGAATCGTTCAATGATATTGTATTTTCAAACTGCATGTCAAATTGTTATAGAAAGGGATAAATATATGAGATGTAACACCTGAAAGATCATATTGTACTGAATGGATTTTCCATCAATTCGTAAAAAATGAGTATGCATGATAATCTAAAAACGTTCTATTCTGATGAGCAAAAATAATCGGTAAACGCATAAAAATCCTTGCATAACTAGTCGGACCAAAAGAAAGGTCTGGGGTTGACAAAAACGTAGGAAATGAATAGAACATAATGAACAGTCCTATATTTTCTTAATCTGACTAGTCAAAATGATGCATAAAGCAAATACATGTACAAGAACACCACAATATACTAAATATCGTCTTTTCTTATTTTTTTGTGCACCTCCCCCCCCCCTTTAATTTTTATTTGTTATTTTTTACTTTTTGTATGTCATAAACTGTAGGATGAGTAGAAATTTTATTAAATTTCATCCGGCGTAACGGCAGTGCTGGGAAGAATACTAAAGAGTTGTTTATAACATCCCTATTTTTTTCAAAAGGTCCCAGGCAAACAAAACATCTATTGACTAAGCTTTTGGCAACATATACATGTACTTCATTAGTCTCTCAGCCAAAGATGTAAGTTGAGCCTTTAGATATAAAACTACATATAGTCCAAATTTCAGGTCTTTTTTATGTTAATTCACATGAAAAATTTATTACCTTACGCCCAAATGTTTTGAAGTTCAATCTCATAAAGGGACACAACTCAATTGTTGAAACTTCATGAAAATCCTTACAAACAAAGATACATAGCGGGTTCCAGTAAATGCTCTAACAAGCGTCTTTCTTTACTCCTCACTAAAATATTAACAGCAGTGAAGGAGAAACTTAGGAGTACTGTGCAACATTATATTCGAGAAGAGGTGTAAATCAGATGTGTATAAGTAAAAATTCCAAGGAACTTAAATTTCGGAAAATTTGAAATCTCAAAATTTTACCAAAATCAATAACATAAAAACTTACGACTTTTCAACTCTGTATACAACCATTCCCCACGATAAATTAAAGTCCAGGCTTTTTGACATCAATG